TTTGCACTGGTGAGGTACTAACTGGGACATATTGACACATGTATTTGTTGGTACACTTGCACATTAATAATAAACACACACACACTGTAATGTTTCGTCTGGGTTCATGTTTTTATTTTGACTTTATTCTGATTTTTGTCAAGTTCCTCTCTTTTCTTCCACCTGTCTGCCTTTGCTCCAGCCCCGCCCACTCACACCTGATCCTCATATTTCTCCCCCAGGTGTTCCCTGTTTGTGCTCATTAGTCTCACCTTTATATTCTGTGTCTTGTCTTCACTTCCCTGTCGGGTCATTCTGTTATGAGTCTCAGGCAGGAATGAACCCATGATGCAGGCAGTTTCAAGGTTCCAACAAACAAAGTATTTATTTAACAAAAAAAAAAGGTGCTGACTGGGCAGCTCAAAAAACTTACAAGGCTTGGTAGGGCAGGACAAGGCACAATACAACACAATACAGAACATAACCAAACAATGACCTGACCGGGAAGTGAAGACAAGACACAGAATATAAAGGTGATCTAATGAGCACAAACAGGGAACACCTGGGAGAGAAACATGAGGATCAGGTGTGAGTGGGCGGGGCTGGAGCAAAGGCAGACAGGAGGAAGAAAACAGAGGAACATGACAAAAATCAGAATAAAGTCAAAATAAAAACATGAACCCAGACAAAACATAACACACACACGGTAGTTAAAAGTATTGTCTCGTCACTCCCACAAACTTTAGTTCTTGTCAGCATGCATTTAGGTGACTTCCTGTCTAGTTATGAGTGGTTTCTGTGAGTAGTGAAGCTCTCCAGGAGCCTCATGTAACAGTGCATAGATTCCACACACCAGGATGTATCAAACTGAACATTGAATTAAAGTGTGTGTAAATACACAAACATGTTTTAACTGCCCTGAAAACGTGTGGACAGCCACACAAAGTTTTGCAGTTGACAGTTTTAAACCATTAAGTCCAGAATCTGACCTGAAAACACAGAAATACGACTCTGTTCTGTTTTCTGGATGAAAGGAGTGTCTGAACACTGGGTTTTTTTAAGTTTGAGTTTATATGATTGAAGCCCTAGCGATGAAACTGAATCACATTTAACCTCAGACAACACAGAGTACACATAAAAATGATAAAAACAACCTTACTCCAGTGTACTGTCAAGTTTCTTTTATTTCTGTCATATGTAAACTGAGTCCTTTGTCTAAGAAAATGAAAATACCACGCAGAAATGAATAATAAGCTGCAAGAMCACCAACAAGGCCTCCTATCAAATGCTTCTGATCCTCTGATCTAAATAAACAGAGTCATAAGTCCTGAACTTTCTATTTCCTTGTTTGTTTTCCAACCTGTGGCTGTTAGAATGTGGCACAAATTCAGCAGATCCCAGCAGTCGTATTGTGGGCGGCACAGAGGCTGTGAACGGAGCCTGGCCGTGGCAGGTCAGTCTCCAGATTTCTAATCAACATGTGTGTGGAGGCTCCATRATCGGCCCGAAGTGGATCCTGTCTGCAGCACACTGCTTCCAGAGGTCAGCTTTTCCACTTTCCTTCATTTCTTCTCATGTTCAGCAAGCTGTTTCACAAAACCTAAACTAAAGATTCTGCTGATCACAAGTTACCTATCTGTGACTGGGTGTTTCACAAGCACTGACACTTTGAACTTTTCCCATTTTGTCACAAAGCAATGTTTTAAAATACATGCATTTGGTTTCTTTCTCCTGTAATATCAAGAGAATGGGACCTGATGGGTTTTCAGCTTTTCTGATAAAAAAAAACTGGGCTGAGGAACTCACAGCTGCTTGGTGTCCTTTATTCCWGCAATCGCTTAACACTCACACAGTGCCAGCAGCATGAAAACTATCTCATATTAACACTGATTCCTACAAAATCTGGGACTACTACAAATGACAGTTTGTGTCCTGTGGCCTTGACCTCAAATCTTGTGAAAATTTGAGAAACTTATGTCACAGTTTGAGAAAGACGTTGACACCTACCAGTTTGCTTACAAGAAAAACAGAAGCACTGAAGATGCTATTAGCATTGTTCATCCTGTGTCTAAACATCTTGAAAATACTAAGGCCTGTGCTCCGTGTTTTATTTGTGGACTTTAGTTCACCCTCTGACCCTGCAAACACACCTACTCCTAGAGAAAACAAGCTTCTGAACACGGTGTTAGTGTCTATTTAATRAGATGGTTTTACTCTTTTTRTAAATAACAGAACACAACGTGRTCGGGTGAGTGGAACAGTATCAGATGTTAGACATAAAAACACTGGAGTTCCACAAGGCAGTGTATCATCTCTGGTTCTTTTTGCCTTATACATAAGTGAATGCATGAGTATTCACCCAAATAACCTCTTAGTTAGTATGGCCTCTTAGTTAGTTCTGTCTTCTACAAAAGGACATGGACACATCATCATACTACAGTGAAATAGACTCCGTCACTAAGTGTTGCGATAAGAATCGTCTCCTGTAAATGTGAAAAAGACAAAAAAAATCTTRGACCATAGGAACGTCTATGACCATCGTCTATGATGTCATCATAAAGGACACTGTGATTCAACAAGGACCACTATATAAATACCTAGGGACTCACTTGGAAAGTGTGTTGTGTTGGAAAGCCAACACTGACTTTCTGTGTTCAAGACTACAGTGGAGACTYTATATTTTTAAGAAGACTAAAACTGTTTGGTGTTGGCATTAACGTCAGAGCTTTATTGCCATTGTCAGTGATAAACACAGACTAGGAACTTGCAGTTTAGAACATCCGTTCAGGGAAGACACACATAACAAACATGGGAGAACGAATGTCATGGTCTTTCGCACTAATGTGCGCTACTTTTGCAGCCTAAAATACACTCACACTAGGAAAGGCTAGTTTAAAAAAGTGCTTTGATCCTATGTTTTACACAGAAACACAGAACCGTGCGCCCAAAAAAATCACTCAGCAAGTGCAAGGCAGCGAAGGAGTGGAGGGGGTGGGGGGACAAACACATGGTATGGGGTGGGGTTCAGCGGAGCCGGTGACATTCCAGGTTAGTACTCCGTGTTGGAACTGATCAAAGACCTCCAATGTCCGTAGCAAGTTGTTGTCAGCCAAAGCACAAATCACCAGAGTCAGTTCTCTGTCTCCACCCAACGTGGCTTTCAGACTGATCCACTCATAGGTGATACGGGTAGGGATGGGGGCAGTCAAGGCTTTTTTCTCACGTGTCATCCAGGGAGGTTTGATAGTTGGCAACCCAAGGTCACCAGCTGCAAGGGATCCAATAATAAACATAATTGTTTTGGCCAAGCAGCCTGGTTTTCTCTGCTTTGTGTCAACTGCATCTCTGTTTGCGAAAAAAGCCAATGTTCCAAATTACAGTACCTCCTCGCCTSTCTCCATGTGAAACTTCACCCAGGTGTAATCTTACTCCTCACAGGCATGCTGCTGAACTGTGATCCTCATCAGAATCACGTCCAGTTTGCAACTTATATCCCCCAGCATTTGAGTCTGTGCATTTCCAYTACGGTAAATCCCACCCACGGTCCCTGACAGCTTTTGGCATTTCCGAACTTCTGTCAGGATCACTTTCATTTTCCGATAAACCAGTACACCTCCACAGCCGATCAGCAGGAATCCAGTTATCATGGATCCAAAAAAATATACAGATCTTCAACATCTGCGATGAAAAGCGGGGCCAAACAAATGAGGTTCCAGCCCCAAGACCCAGACACTTGCCCTGCCGCCACCATTCCACTCAGACAGCTGCGCTCCCCATGTTCCAATCTCAGTGTTGAAAAATGGTGTTGATTGCATTCAGAGACCAGTTGAKCAAATCCATAATCAGTGTGCATTACTAATGCAATGCACACTATTGTGATTTGTTTCCCATCCAAGTCATCTCAATTTTGCCATGCTTCTCCTCCTGCATACTTTGTCCTAGAGCTGCCATTGTAATTTATATCTGTAAAGCCCCTGTGCCAAATAATGGCTATGCCTTTTGGTGCCTGTAAAACTTATAGTTTTTGAAATATTAATGTTTAATAAATTATAATGGCAGTCAATGGAGCCTTGTATTGGTCCAATACTGCAACCCTGCTGCATCTACACAATATGGTACTGCACCATAGTTTCATAATATTTAAACTCAGTACTTCAGTGATTACAATARTAATATGATTGTATTTAAATGTTTTAATGTAATACTGTCTTTATGTTGTCCTCTTGCTGAAATACATTGCACTTAAGTGTCAATAATTGCATTGACAAGGTAAACTTTTTCTGTATACATACAATCCAATCCCTGGGATTGTCCTCTGTCACATCTCCTATATACTCATGATGAGCACTGTAGGCTTTCATGCGGGAGATCAGGGTTCAAATCCAGCTACTGCAACTTTTAAAAAAATCTCTTCAAACTTCTTATTGTCACACAACTACCTTAATTACAAACACCTGCTGATGTGACAGGCACAAGCTGGTATAGAAAACACATTTGAACTTGGTCAAAGTTTATTCTGAAAGTCCAATGCTCCTGCATACATTGTCCTACAGCTGCTATTGTAATTTCTATCTGTAAAGGTCCTGTGCCAAATGATTGCTATGCCTTTTGGTACCTGTACAACTTGTAGTTTTTGAAATATTAATGTTTAAACTTTATTTCAAATTCATATAATGAGATTCAATGGAGCGTTGTAATGGTCCAATACTGCCCCCTGCTGTACACAACCTGGTACTGCACCAAAGTTTAGTAATATTTAAACTCTGTAGTTTAGCGTTTACAATTGTAAA